TTTGCTGTAATTAAGTTTTACTTTTCTTTTTCGTGTACCTGCTCTTCTATTGAGTTCTGTGCATATGTGTGTTTTCTTACCGACAACAGGCTCAAGGTTTTGAGAGAAAGGAAACTTCCCTAGGTCCAGTGGTGCCAGTGGGTGGTGCTTGGGCATGCAGCCTGGTGGTTACTTTTCTGAAACTGTAGGACCAAGATAGTACTTTTTCCAAGAATTAAGGAACAAAGAGAAATTATGTTAGGACCTTGGGCGTAAGAAGACGCATCCTTATCAGTGGCTAGGCACCTGCCGGTAACATTTTGTCTTGTGGCTCAGATATCCTTACTTCGAAATAATACAGAATGTGCAGGAGATCTTTTCTAGGTCCCATAGGTTGAGCAACCCTGGAGTCAGATGGATCAGTGTCACTGATCTCCTGGGTCACAAATCCTTGTGGAACTGAGGCATGTAGCATTGGCTGGCATGTGATCCTGGAGATGAAGGTCATAGAAAAGATAACCACCTTTTGGTCCAAGGGATCAAGTTTTTTAAGCACTTCATAGACAGACTTTCTAGGGCTATGTTGGGGAAGAAACTCTTCCGAGTTCCCAGAGTAAACACAGATGGGAGCTGAGGTTGGGACACTGGCAACAACTTTTCTGCTTTATGGGAAGATTTTGATATACAGGGCTGAAGCCAAGACTTTTTGGCCAGGAGCAGTGGGGACCCATTTCTGATGACTGGAGAAGACATTTCCCCTACTCCTCACTGGGCACGTGTTATTAGCTACTGTTCTGTTGCTGTCATGAAATACTGTGGCCAAGGCTACTCATGGAAGAGTAGAAATCAGGCAAAGTGATAGACACATGGAATCCCAAAACACAGGAGGCTGAAGCAGGACTCTCGCTACGAGCTTGTAGCCAGTATATACTGAATACCAATTCAGCCAGGACTGCACTATAAAAAAAAAATTTTTTTTTTGAGACAGGGTTTCTCTGTAGCTTTGGAGCCTGTCCTGGAACTCCCTTTGTGTAGACCTGGCTAGCCTTGAACTCACAGAGATCTGCCTGCCTCTGCCTCCCGAGTGCTGGGATTAAAGGCATGTGCCACCACCACCCGGCTGCACCATAAAATTCTATATTAAAAAAAATGGAGCAAGAAAGAGGAGAGTGAGAGTGAGTGAGAGTGAGAGAGAGGGAGGGAGGGAGGGAGGGAGGGAGGGAGGGAGGGAGGGAGAGAGAGAGAGAGAGAGAGAGAGAGAGAGAGAGAGAGAGAGAGAAGGAAGGAAGGAAAGGGAGTAATGGAGCAAATTGTTAGCAGGTGAGGGGTTTGCTCCCAGATGTCAAGGTCACCCTTTCAGAGATTTTATGTGCTCACTGATTTGTTTCAACATTTCTACTCTATAACTTTTTTTTTTTTTTTTGCACGTCTCTGTGATGGGAATTCTATTCCTTGAGTAGACATACTACTCTGTATTTTGCTTTACTCTTTGCAGGGGTACATAAATAGGTCTGGCTGTGGGCACCTGTTTATAATTTGACCCGAAGAATAAGGAATGATAAACTACTAAACCCTCCAGCTTCTTTGGAAACTCTTCCCTTTGGAAAAGTTGCCTCTTGTAAAGTCTGAATTTATCATCCTTGTGCGTATGTGTGCATGATGTGTGTGGGGGATGTGTGCTCCAGGGCATCTTTAGAGGTCAGAGGGCAGCTTGCAGGAGTCTGTTCTCTCCTTCTGCCTTCATGGGGGATGAAGGATAGAACTCAGCTGGCTAGTTTATGTGGCAAGCACTGAGCCACCTAGTTGGCCCTACTTGGAAAATTTTTGTTCTGCAACTGCTAGCTAGCCTTTGAATGAAGTGTTGGCCTGAATACTGAACACTCAATTCACTTTTTTTTTTTTGAGGCAGGGTTGACTATGCAGCTCTGACTGGCCTGGAACTCTGAATATAAATCAGCCTGGCCCGAAACTCATAGAAATCCACCTGCCTCTGCCTCTAGAATACTGGGATTAATGGATATGCATCATTACCCCTAGTCTAAACACGCCAGTTCTTAATGCGTCAGCTGTCCCCAGTTTTACACATGACACTTTTCTACAACCTTATACTCCTGATTAGATGATTTGATTTTCATGACTGACTCCTGTGTCTTTGATATTCTTGTAACCTGTCAACAGATTATACTTGCCACCACGCCCAGAAAGCTCTGATAGTTAATAACCTCTAGATTGGGGTGCTTTCTCCACTAGGATTTCCAAGGCAGGATCTTCTTCTAATCTTACCTAAATTGCTTTCAAATCTGACTTCAGGCCCATGGTCCTTGTCTTTAATAGTTGGTGGTTTGAATTCTGACTACCCAAAACTGTGGAGCATAAAGTTTAATAAAGCTGGTTTCATATTTTTATGGAATTAACTGTTCCCTCTTCCTGAGACTCGAAGTCTACACTAAGGACATTTTTTATTATTGTTTGCTTTTGAGAACCACGAGGAATTTAAGATGCTTCCTTGAAAATAAAAACCCTTTCTCCCTTCTCTTTTGTTTTGGATGGATGCAGATTTCCACGCTGCAGGTTTCTTTGTTTAACTTCTGATAAGATCAGCTTTGTAGTGTGCAATGTGCAAAACAGGCCCTAAAAAGCACAAGTTTACCATTGAGCAATTATCCGACCATATAACCAGAATAGGGCAGCTAGGTCTTGGATATAGGGGCAGGAGGGAACTGGTACCTGACTTGGAACTCAGATTTTTTTTTTTTTTGGCTTGAGTTATTGATATGCTACAAATTATCCATTGAAGGTTACTGTGTGAAAGCAATCATGGTCACAGTGAATTGCTTCTATTTGTAGTGAGATGTGGGAGCAAGAAGGATGGAGATTACAGACAGCTCACCTGACACAGCTGCTGCTGAGCCAGCTAGGGACACAGAGGGACGATTCTGCCGCATCTATGTTGGGGACAACTCCTGGGAAGTGGGGAAAGACGGCCTTTGTCGTGCAGGGCGCTAGGCTCATATCAGAGATAAAATTATCCTTTATTTCTCTTTGTTATTCCAAACAAAGATTTAGCAAAGTTCACTAAATTATTTTAACATTGTCTTAAATCAGCATATTTAGGGGCAGAGCCTAGATTTGCCATAAGGTTTAATGGGAGAGAGACCAGTTTAAGGACAGTGGTGCTACCTTCTGGGATGTCCCCAAAAGAGAGGTGACTTGCAGGGGTGGTGTTGTTACTACAAGCCCCATCTGTTCTGACCCGTGGAAGACGTCCTTCTCATGGAGACTGTCTGGTTGTACCAAGAAAGCAGGAATCTGTTGTGGGAATTCAGTCCGATAGCCAATTGTATGGGACAGCTCGGCCCAATGGGCGTGGTCTTCTCTGGAGATACATGACCCGATGGCGCCCAGGTAATGAGAGAGGGAACTCTGAGCAAGTCAGTTTTATTAACAGTTGCCAATCAATAAAATACACTTCCAGTACAGAACGAGGCTGCAACGCTGCCTCTGAGCTGCTGCTCCCCTAGTTCACAATGGAGACTCGGAAGATCTGGGGAAGGTAACCATGCCCTGGCCCTAGCAAGCCCTCCTCACTCCCCGACCCCATCTGGATTTTCCTGGTCACATATCTCCAGAGAAAAACTCTGTCCCCTACAGTTGGCGATCTAACCAAATTTCCTAAACAGGAATCTCCCATGACAAGTCCTCCTTGGTTCTGTGCCTTGGTCTTTTAGCTCTATCACTGGTCTATGGGGACCTGTCAATGCATAGGTCAGATTATTAGCTAAACCTATATAGATTCAGGGATGTGCAGCTCAACGCGAGCCTTTGAGACTTCTAGAGTGATCACGACGTAAAAACGAAAGGACCTAAAGGTCAGCCTCCTTCAGCTCATTTCTTCTGAAGAGATGCTTGCTATTGAAATTAATCTGTCTTTTGTAAAGAATTACATTAATATTAAAGCAGACAAGGCTGAATGAATTATCAACAATAATTGAATTACCGCAACGGGAGGTTTGCGCTGTGCTGGTCCTGCAGCCTCGATGTTTATGCCTAAGCACTAAGGACAGCATCATTCAGCCTTCTCCTTGTCTCACAGCGATGGCCAGGATGGTATGATCGGCTGAGCTGGATTCAGAGTTGGTGCTCCAGATATGTGATTATGTATTACATGTCATAATTGAGAGTGATTGCTTTGATGGATGGATACATTTTCACCCCTCCATGGTAGGAATCTGTTTTGGACCCCAGCTCTAACACCCGTGTTACCTACATGCCAAGAAGACAGAGCACATTCAAACCAAAGAGTTTAGGATCGGCAGATCTAGGTTCCTTCATGTGACTTTTTATGTGCTCAGATCTTTGGTGCTAGTATATTTTGTGGCCCCAGGATATAACGAATGACATTGTGTCTCCAAATTAGGCCTTTCTTTGTGCCTTGAGTATTAGACAAAGGGGAAAAAACATCCTGATATTGGGAATTTTTTTCTTCATATAGAAGATGGCTTAGAAAGCCTAACTTTTAATGCATTATTCATTCTTGGAAAAAACTTCTGATTAAAAGCAGGCAGGATGCTAATCAAATATTGAAAACTATGCAAACGCAGCCCTGTCAAGCTCCTCTCAGCGGTGCCAGTGTCTTCCAGGGCAAACACACTCTAAGTGTACTTTTTGCTCTGAAATCAGACATATTCGGTAAAAATAGAAATGAGGGATTCTCTTATGAAATAACACAAATTATGCTTTGGGAGAATATAATTTTGTTATAAAGTAGGAAATGTTTGAATATGAACGAAAGCAAAGCGCGACATGTTTATAAACACGCTATCAAGCAGCTTTCCAATGGGGGCGCCACCGACAATGGGGGAAATCAATAAATACTCACGGACACACGGAGTAGGAAATATACATCTTGATTTTATAATGTGTGTGCTTTATTTTTTTTTTTTACACAAATGGAATGGAAGTGTTGAATATTTACACTTAACAGGAGTATAAGCTGTGCAGGATCTCTGTAAACTCCAGCCAGGCCCGGAGTAAGTCCCTCTCCGCAACTCCCTCCCCTCCCATCCCGCATTACAGCTCGGTGGAGAAAACATCCTGTCAGGGAGAAGCACAAAAAACTGTCATAGGAAAAGGATCTAACGGGTACAACCTGGTGCACTCAGAAGGTAAGATACACTTAGGAAACACAAATTTGAAAAGAAGAAAAGTTTTCCATCCCAGTGGGAGTCAACCGGGCCACTTGGCTGTCTGGCCTCCTGAGCTGCGAGGGAGATACTGCACTCCTTCAGCTGATCGTCGGCGACATTTTCTGCCTGCCTTAGCTTGTCTTCAGCTGCTACAAGAAGCTGCACAGCTGTACAAGAAAGGATTCCTGAAGCACAGGTTTCAGTGAGGAAGGATATTTACAGATTGAAGTGTGAATGTGTGTCCAACCACGTTGAATTGTACCTCATGTAACGTGTCTACGCGGTATGCATCCCATATCTACCATCTTAACTGATGCATACCCACAGAATTCTCTACGGAGCTTCCTGGAGACTCAGTTGTCACAGGAGACACTCCACATGCTTTAAGGGAACTGATGTCTCCCCAGGAGTGAGTGACTCATTAGGATAATAAATTTAGGAATTTAGTCTTAGTCCTCGGCTTAAATGCGTTTTGTAGAAACTTTTAGGCAGGACCAAGACAGTAAAGAAGATGTTCATATCGCTAGCGAGTCCATCCAATCTCACCAGAGCAATCACCAGCTGAAAAGCAGAAGGGGCTTCACGTGGAAATGAGAAAAAGAAAGGAGGGGAAATCTCTCTCTCTCCAAAACAGGGCGGTGTCATGGCTTCAGTGAGGTTTATGACAGTAGTTGTTGGGGCCAGAGTTTGCCTCTGTTAAGAGAAAGCATCCTCAGCCTGGGTGGGGCTGGGAGGGAGTTCCTGGAGACTGGGAGGTCCAGGCAGAGGCTTCCGGGTGCCAGGGGCCCGCAGCTCTTGCATCAGCACTGCCGGGGCAGTGGTGCAGGCTGGCTCCAGGTCAGGGCCTCACACTCAGCTTTGCTTTCTGGGCTGAGTAAGTAAAATGGTGACCCCAAGGATTTGCGTTGTTAGTCCGTTGCGTGGACTTGCTGTCTGAATCAGCCTGAGCCCTTTAGAGGACAGGGGAATTGAGCGTGTGGGTTGCGGCAATGGGTGCGAGGCGAGAAGAGGGAGGAGGAGCTTGGGAGAAAGGGATACAAAGGGAAGCAGGAGATGGAGGTGAAGAAGAGATGGACAGGGAAAGAAAGGGGAGAGAGGAGGGGCAAGGCCCACAACCCAGGAAGGATAGAAGAGGGTCAACATGGCAGAGGCGACGAGAGAAGGAAAGCCGTAGATAAAATGAGGGGGAAGGAATAGGTGAGCGCCAGAGGTGGGTAGAGCATCCCTGGCTGCGTCCTGAAGGGCTGGCAGTAGGATCTAAGACAGCTCACAGAGGCTTCTGAGTGCAGCTTCATCTAGATGGGCTTGCCAAGTGGATAGAGCCAACCCCTGAATTTGGGTCCGGGAGAAAAGGCCTTCCAAGAGTAGGCCGTCAACTCTCAAGGAAAAGAGCGATAAGCGAATGAATGCCTCAGCGATAATTGGCAGACAGGTGAGATTTCAGTTTTGGTAAAGCTGAGACCCCCATGGTGCTACACATTGTACCAGAGCATGAAAAATAGCACCAGTGACGCGATCTGGCACTTTTCCGAAAGGGCCCAGCATGAGAAGGTGACACTGTGCCCCCCGCGAGCCTTCAGATTGGGGAGAGCTCCGGACAAAGTTTGCAGTGTTAGCACCAGTCTGGCCCAAGGCTCCAGGCGCATTTGCACCAGATGGGATCTGGGTGACTCTCATGCCATTTTCATTGATGATGTTGGATTTGCTGCAAAATACACCAGTTCCTTGGAGCCATAGAGACCTCAACATTGGGAAGCGCAAGACAACACAACAAAATGGATGAGTGAATTCTATAGGAAAGACCCTCTCACCAAGGTGCTTGGCGAGTCTTCAAGCAAATATATATGTATATATATTTATATAAATCTACATAAAAAATCAGTGCTAATGCTAATCTGAAAGCATCTACACTGGGAAAATAAATAATTATATTACTACAAAACCAATGGTTTGTGGTTCAATTTGATTGTACTCAGCCACAGCAATACTATCAAATGGAAAGCACACCGCACAACTGGAGAAAACATCTACTCGTTAATGACAGTCCTCTAAGGTAAAGTGGTTGCATGCTCAGTGGAGAAACCAAAGAAGTTATCATGGTGGCCTATAAAGAGAGCTGGGATCAGGAATGGCATTCTAGTGGCAGAGAACTCCGGAGAGCAATCTTGATGGAAGTTGGCCTCGACCTGAAACTGATGATTGGCAGGCATGGGTGCATCATTTCGCACTGTGAGCCCTCTAAGGCTATCTCTGGAAAACTGAACTCTCCTATGAGAGGGGGGAAAAAAAGCACAGCTGCAAAGGCAGCCTCAAGACCATATAGGTAGAGGCATACTTTTGTATTTTAATGTTTGTTCTGGTGACTGCAGCTAGGCAGACGATGGTATGAACAACCCTTGATTTTGGAAAGAGACTCGGTTGTAAGCCCCGATGTTCTAACTTAGAAGAAGCCCCATCACTCTGATGGCTCTGTCTTTTGTTCTTGTCCTCCAGCCTACATGCTGGTTGGCTGCACAGTGTGGCAGAATCCCTGCCAGGTCTTGATGTACCCCAGAAATAAGGCGATGGGGCTTAACCTGGGTATGTAGAGAACCCAGGTATGAGTAGTTATTAATAACACTTAAAAAGTCTCTCTCTGAATACCTTGGGCAGAACCAGTGCTGACGTCACCATCGGTGCTAAAGTGGGAAGCTAACTCTTAATGTTTCAGCTTATAGGCTTCAGGAGGGTTTTTTAATCCCCCAAATCATCATTATCATAATTGTTAGAAAAATGAACTTGGTCCAGGTGCAGCCCTAAGGAAGGCAGTTCAATTGGTTGAGCTCAAAGTCATCAATTGTCCTCGCCTTGTGGTTTGCCCTATATATTAAACAAGGAAAGTGCATCCCTCACCACTCCCAACCAGATAACTTCTCTTTTTTCTTTTCCTCAGAGAAATAGCGCATCTTAGGACAGGTCTCCCCCTGCAATGCCAACCTGGGCTGTTACAAAACACCTAGTTGCTCTGTGAAACAAAGAAAAGATAGTCCTAATGACTTCTGGTTTGCCGGAATACTGAATGGTTCTTGAACTGTATGCAAGTGACTAGGAACAAAAGTTGAATTTGACTATCTACATGGTTGGCTCAGGCTATTTAACTGGAGAAAAGCAATCGTCCCCTTTTGATTATCTGTGTGAGTTTTTATCTCTGAAAAGCAATTGGCTTTAAAAAAAGTAACAGAAAAATATCTCTTCCAAAAATATCATGAGGGTAACTATTAAGGGATGTGTCCCGTAAGAGCGTATCACTAGCATGTGAGTGGGATGGGGATGAGGAGGTGGGTGAGGAAGGAGTCTTAGGCAGACCTGGGGGTAACGCTGATGCTCTGAATGGGTCATTGGCAACAAAAGGGGAGAGTGCAACCTCAAATTTTCAAATTTGATCATCCGCTGAGAGTACGTACATTTAGTCTTTCAATGGTTTTCTTCATCTTTACAAAATATTTCACAAAACTTTTAACCTATAGAAATTCATTTCTATACATTTAATATATTTTATTGTATAAATTATTCTCATCGTTAGTGCCATCTTTCAGCTTATAAATGGCAAAATCGACAATCATAAAGCTAGTCCAGGTGGAATCCCCTCCTCGGCAAGGTCAGCCCTGCACACCCGCTGCCCGTTTTACCACACGCTTGTCTTTGCACACGCCAGCCAAGGAAACTAAGCCATCGCCCTCCCCTGATAGTACGTCTCCTCCAAAGGGACCTTTTCTGGTTTCCTTATTTCCTTTGCTTGTTAAGAAATCAAAGGATGTGCATAGTTATAAAATTCAAAGTATACCAATTACAGAGGTGTGGGCAAGGTGGAAGGTTGGTGAGGTTCGAGTGCTGGCAACTTTTCTTAAAGCAAAAACCACAGAGAGCTCTGCAGCTAAATCAGCTCTGCACATCTGCTGGGGTGAGAAGGCTGCCCATCTCTAGGGCAGAGAGCCTGCCAGAGGTTCATCCCTACACCTGGTACTTTGAGCAAACCAAAGCCTTCCTGCAATGTCTTTTCCGTCCCACCCTTTGGCCCCTCTGTTTCCTTCATGGCTTCACACAGTGTGTTGTACATTCATAAGGATTCACATTGACTGCAAAAACATAAATGCAACAAAAACATAAAAGCCTCCAAGTATTATATTATATATATTTTGTTCTTCTAAATGCTCTTCTGCCGTTGTCAGAGGCGCAGGAGCTAATTTATAACTTCTCCTTTGAGGGAATCCAGACGAAAGGCCCAGACTGCTCTTCAATAACAAGCTTGCATTGGTTATATATATCTTCTAAGGTGTCTCCTTGGACAATAGCTGTTACAAAGACAGAAACACCCAGAGTTAGGAGGCATTCCCTTGAGGTGAGGACAGTCAGTGATCTCTCACACAACAGAAACTCAAATCAGTGACAGACAACTCATCAGGAATCTTAATGTCCCCTTCCGGTAAGTAAGAAAGACCGGTCACAGGAGCGTGGTCACGCCAATGATGCCTACAAGGAACAGTCTGTTCTCTCTGTGCCCTAGGTCAGTAATAAATGTGTCCCAATGTTAGTACTTTCTGTGTTCACTCCCAGTTCTAGCAATGAATCATTCGCTCGTTTCATGGATGCCTACTCTGAACCAGGCACCGGAGAAGAGCACAGCACACGGCAGTTTCAGAAGGAAAAACTCCCTGTCTGGCCATAAGGTTTCTCTAATTCACTCTAGTGAAGGCAGAAATTCAGGTCTTGTATAGATATGGAAATAATAAGAGTTTTAGACAGAAATGTTGAGTTAACTGTAAATTACTAAAAACACTCAGTTCTCAGCATAGATTTAAACGCATTTTGTTGTTTCCCTTGAATAAATACTATCTTGGACTTGGGTCTCCAAAACATCAGCATGACCCATCTGTTACCAAGGCTTCAAGACAAACTATTATTGAAATAGGGCTTGCATCTTTTGGTTTCAAATACAATCTTCAGATCACACTAATGGTACTCTACCCATGAGTGCAAACTATGAGTCAAACAGTCGTTATTTTGACTTAATTTTCCCACCTTGGAAGTGAACTTTGATCCTCTGGAAGAGCAGCAAGTATTCTTAACTGCTGAGCCATCTCTGCAGCCCTTTGATTTTTCCCATCTGGATGCTCTTTTATCTTTTAGAATGACGTATCACTCACATTACTGAGAGAAACCTTAGCATTAACTTAAGTAAGAATAGCTGTGGACTGCCCTGTTATTGGCTCCTTTAGTGTTCTGAATATGATTCAAAATAACTACATCAAAACCCATCTCATTTCATGCCAGTAATTCATGAGGGAAGTTGTTATATTTAATGTTATTTTTAGACGGTGTTGTATTTGGAGGGGTCAAAGTTGGCGCCTTGTGTTAGCCAGTTAAATACTCTACTACATCACCAACTCTATCTTGTTGATAAATCATTGCGAATCCGCTACAAGACAAATTTCACCAAGGTTGGTTTCCCTCTGGGTTTAGCCAGTGTTTCATGAGAACAGGGAAGAAGAGAGAGCTCAGGATATCCATAAGAAATATGTATTCTATCCCGAAAACAGCATGTTGCCAAAGACACTTTTAAAAAATCAAAAGCTATTATTGAACTTGCAACAGCGTTAACTGAAACATCTCCAAGCATGTCCTCCTCATGCTCCTGACTGAGGAGACAGGCTGAGGTCTGAGACTGAGCCTCTCCAGTTTTCTGAATCTACCAGGGAGATAGTCTCATGAGGCATCATGCCTAAGATCTCCTTAGTAGTGGGAAGATAGCTCAGGGGCATCTGCCATTCGTGGTTTAGAGCCAGTGAAGAACTAAGAGTGAGCTAACAGCTGGCTCAGAGAGGAGAGAATCCAGAACCCTAAACCAACTGGATGAGGCAGACAGCATAAAAAAATATACTAGGCAATCTCAACTAGAAAGTTTTGGGGCTTAGCTTTAGCAGGCATGGAACCTATTCTAAGTACAATAGCAGTCAACTTATCTTCTTTTCTTGTAGTATCTGGGCCAAGGAAACTTACCTGTAAAATATTCTCCAAATTCTTGTTCTAGTTTAATTGCCCGGTCATAGGTTTTCTTTGCTTGTTCCTCTGTTAGACGCTTATTCATCTCCCTGAGAAAATGAGGGTTTGCTATTAGGACATGAAGAGACTATACCTTATCCCCCCAGTTTTAAAATGCATAGTCAAAATCCCATAGGAGGCATCGTTTAATCTTAGTAGCTGTTGAGGCTTCATTTAGGACTCGTTGGTGGAACCTTTTCAGGCGTTGAGGGTTCCTTGCCAGGGCATCCACTTTCTTGGAGGATAGGCATCGTGTGTAATACTGAATGGAAGTGGAACCTGTCTCTTTGTGATCTGTAGACCCTGGTGTGGTCTGTTTGGTACCTGAAGTCCCTAAAGCGAGACTGAACTTCCTCTCCAGCAGGCCTTAGAGTATTTAAATGAAGCACTTGTGTGTTGTTTGAGGTTCTGCTTCATCAGAACAGACTGTCCTCCAGCTACTTCTTTGTTGTATTTCTAAACCTAAACTTCCTTTGGGTAGATTTCCCCATCTCTAAAATATATGTAAGACACAGAACTGAAGACAGTCTTCCAGAAGTGGTCAGAGGGAGGAAAGAGGGGGGAGGGTACCTGGGTTTGTTAGGCAGCACCATACCCCAGATGACCGGATTTGCCTGTTCTCAGATCCTAACCTTACAAAAGGTTTAGTTCCTTGCCGTCATCCCTCTTAAGGTCTGTTGTTTACCCACCATGCAAATCTGGTGAGCAGAAACAGCTTCTAGAGCCTTATGTTAAGATGAGCAGACCCCCGAGGCTTCTGCAGTCCCAACTACTTGACTCCAAATGTTGAGGCAGGCCTGTAGTGACTAGAACTTCTTGTTCTCATGATCAGATGACAGTGGGAGTGTCTGCTGAAGGCGGACACTCCAGTGGACACAGAATAACTGAAAAGTGCTGGGACCACAATAGCTTCAAATAAGACTATAATCAAGCGATTTAGTCAAATGGTGAGCTAGAATGGAGGAGCTTGGTGTAGAAGGATCTCTAGCATAGTAGGTATAGAGTACAGTCAGAACAGTTTCTAATGTTTAATAGCACACTAGGGTAAATGTGGTTGACAGCAATTGACTGACTAGTTCAAAGCAACTAATAGGGATTTGGAATGATCTAAAGATTAGATTCAAGCAACAAATGTTTGAGGGACCTGACTTGACCACTACATTTCGTGCTTATGAATACAACTATTATACCATATCCCACCAACACACACACTTACCATCTCTAAATTAGAATACATTTTAAAAGCCCCAAACAGAAAGAAACTCTGATGCCTGCTTGATTTTTTTTTTTCAGGTAGGAAAATGACTAAAAAGGAATTATACCCAGGACTCTTTTTCTACTAGTTGAATCTATAGACCTGTTGTTTGAACATATGGTACCTTAAATGCTACCTAGGCTCAAGGACAAAGAAGGTGGAAAGAAAACGGCTATTTCTCTATTCTTTCTACAATGAACTTATTGACTCCTAACCAGTATTAGTGTTATCGTCTCAGGGTCTCTAGGCATTGAAAGTGAAGGTTCAACCAAATGAATAGACATTTTGTTTGCCAGGTTAGGTACATTTCTGAAGCATCCAAGCCTTGCATGCCACTTAGGGGCCAGAGATCCCAGGTTTGGAGTGCCTGGGCTTAGTCGATCCCTTTGCTAGTCCAAGTTATGGGGACTTGAGTAGTCAGGGGATACCCCTAAGTTATCTGTAAGGTAATCAGGATCCTAGAGTAGGAAGTTGAGCCCCTTCACACAACCACAGTTTAACAGAACAGAGGTCATGCGATAGCGAAGCTTGGCATCTTTTGGAACATGGCTATGTGAAGAAAGAAGTTGGGCATGAGTTTGGATGCCACAGAGAGCTGATGTCCAAAGTAGGTGTTTCCTGAACCTTGTTGCTATGAATAGTCCCATCACATTCCTCAGAGTTCACGACTAAGCTTCGAGCTCCTTGAGGGAGGAACCTATGGCTTGTTCATTAGGCTGATTCAACACTTGTTGAATGAGCGACAGAAGGACTAAATGGTGGTTGAGGCAAATAAACATAATTGTGGCACAGATACACATAGGGGTAAACACAATGCATCATGAGCGCAAAGCCATAAAAGACCTTTGGCGGGGGTAGGGTGCACAGTAAAGCATCTCATCGCAATGGGGAAGGCTGGAAGTCAGAAGGCAGCCCATTATGGAAACATCCCTTTCATATATGGCCTTGAACTGATGTTCCCCGGAAGAGGCAGCAGTGTGCTTGCTCATAAGCTCTGTGGCTGGTGCACACGGGAAGTAATGTGCGCAATGGCGTGTCCCTGACTCACAGTGACAGCTGCCACCCTTGTCTTCCAGCTGACCGAGCTTTGGCCCTCCTGGGGGATGGGCAATTCAGGACAGCGTGGCTCCTGAAGTAAAAGCTTCAGGAGAGAGTGAACCACAAACAGCCAGCCTTTAGGAATGAGAGTGCATGGGGCTGGGCACCATTACCACTGCAGTGGGGATCCATGAATATGGCCGCAGCAAATAATGCCAAAGGCACTGTCCTTTTGTGGCATCTAGCCTTTGGCATGCTTAGCTTTCCTTGGTGGTAAGTGCCTGTGACAGGACCCTAAGGCAGAACTAAATAAGTCATCTGGTAGTTAGGGAAGGAAGCAGCTCTTCCACTGAGGACCAGATGGGCTGTCTCCCAGAGTCACGTTGGACTAATGTGCTCCTGGTCCCTCAGGTTTTACTTCCCTAGGCAGCCATCGGTCCTGCTGTGTGTTTGTGATGTGGACTAATTTCTATTTCTGACATGAGCTTTGATGATGCTGTTCCCAAGAGGCAATCGGTACCTTTCTCTTCTTAATGTTAGCATTGCACAGCTTTGTGTGTGCGCCTGTCTACAGTAGATAGACCACTCTCCATCATGACACCTGTGGTTGTTAACTAACTTTATGTGATACCCAGATCAGGAGAAGTTTACTGCATGCTGTTGGAGTAGTAACAGGAGGGCTCTTTTATTAACAACACAGTTTCCTATGTGGTAATTGTGGTCAATGTTTTCCCATCAGCTCCTAATTTTATTGACTTATCTTAGCAAAAACCCTTGTTTGCCTTTACTTTGGGGGATATACTTTGCTTTTAGGCTATAACTGGTGATTTCCCCAGAGATCAACTATGCATTTTTAGGTTACGTTAATTCTCGCAGCTGTCATTCCAACTGCAGCCAGACAAATAGTCTGGTCTCAGAGGAGACCAGACAGGTAGCTGCTACCCTTAGAAAACAATGGCATTCATCTCTGGGAATAAATACTTTCTATTTTTACAGTCTTTTCCACAAGCATTGTTTTCCAGTGTGTTCTGTATGGTTCAGTCCAACAACATTCATCTGAGGCCTGCCTGGAGGCAGCATTCGAGCTAGGCTCTTGTAACAGATGCACTGATGTCATCTCTGGCATTCTCCTGGGATCCGCTTATGTGTTTCATCATAAGGTTGAATTAATGCTCCATAAAAAGCAGCCCTCGTATCTTTTGCAAGAGTACTATTTCACAAGTACTTACTCTGACAAGGAATCTGAGCCCCTATGACCTCGTTTCAGCCCTCACTCTACAAGGTACACGTTAATGCCTAGTTTATAGTTGAGGATCTAAGGGAGCTCAAGCAATTTGTGCTGGGGTTAGATGATGGATCATGGTAGAGCCGAGAGCTGTCCTGTCCGTCCCGTTTTCACATCTCTGCCGTGACCTCCCCGCTCTGCCCCCATTACCTATAGTAGTTCCACCGTTCTATAGGGTTGCCTAGAGGGGTGTTCTGGTGGACTGTGAATATCTGCCTACTTTGTTTACTGTTATTTGAAGCAAGGTATTTTACAAGACCTTTGGTGAACCATGCACTTCCCATGCTGATGTATGTGCACAGATGAGGAGATGGATCTATTAAGGATATTAGAGGCATGCCACTAGGGAAGAATGCTAAGAACCATAGTCTGTATGTTTCAGCATAGAGTCAGAATTCTAAGAAGGGCGATATGTCAATGGAAAGATTTAGGAAGTATTCTTCCCTCTATAAAAACAAAACAAAACAAAACAAAATGCCCACATTTAAAGGTTTACCTGTAAAACTGTTCTCAAAGTTAAGAGACAATGTAAAAATGAGTCAACCTGCCATTTGCCAAAACCAAAACCAGAAACTCAAATAACTGCCCCCCTCCACCCAAAAACCCCTTAGACCAAATGAAACTACCAACAAACAGAAAATGTACAGGTTAAAGCAATTTGTAGGATCATAAAGAATTATTGACTCAAAAAGTTTAATATATATATATATTAGAAACGGGAAATGCTCAACGATCAGCGCTGGCATTTCCTGCCATGATCCTCTGTGAGAAACTGCCGCGGGGAGCTGCGTGAGGACTTGGGCCCTCTACTTACATCAGAGGCTCCAGGGACTTGGGCTTTATGAAGATGGCGATGGGATAGAGCTGGGCCACTTGTAACCGTTTAATAGCGTTTCCTGACACGTCAAGTATACAGTGCTTGCCCTGGCATAAGGGTAAGAAAAACACCAGGTTAGAAATAGCAAGAAAAAAGGCCAGTGTCCAGTGAAATAAACTAAAGCATGTTTTAGAGAAAGGTATGAAATGATAGGTTTTTAAAGACTGAAAAAAAAAAAAAAAACCAAACAAACCCAAAACTCCAAAGAGCAATTCTAGGTCTGTGAGGCAGGTACTGCTGACTGCATTTTACAGGAGAGAAGACTAAGCACTACTGGCCCCAAATTCACCGGGAGGAAGCCTGAAACCCAGCTCCGGAGCATGGGCAGAGACATGGGCAGAACTGCTGGTTGGAGCAGCCCTTCTGTCCTCTTATCCTGCAGCAGTGTAAAACCTATAAGGATGGCGATCACAGGAACTCAAGCAATTCCATACGTTTGCTCAGTTCTTATGTGATACATACACATTGGAAGGCAGATACAGAAGCACTGGCTTCAGTTTTACATTGCCAAATGCTGACTGTGCAGTGCTGTGTAAGCTTGTTTGTTAGCAGATCAAAAGCCCATCCCTTTACAGTACTCCTCACTACCAGTGCAGTGGATGCTCACTCATTGCCGGGAGCTACTTCATAAAATATTTCTGGAAGAGGAGTCATTTGCCACATCTCCTTCTACCTCCTGGAGAGAAGTGGCCTCATTATTCTGAGGCTAGGAGATCTTTACACAAGACAAAAAAAGGCATTTTTATATAGGTAGAAGCAGTCCTCAAGAACACAGGGAGAGTTAATGTGTGTACAAAATGAAGAGTCCAGTGACCACTAGAATGTGCATGAGACATGCAAGAGGCTCCATGCCTGACCGCAAAAGTAATAGACTCCAGATTTGTTCTCCGAAGTGCATTGGTTACACATAAAATGTTATGTGCTGTTTCCTCACGTGCTAGCCACTATTTTCCCAGTTAACACAGGCTGTGTTTACACGTTCAAAGAGGAAAACAGGCCTAATTTTCCAGATTACTGACTAGAAAGGATCCATAGAGCTTGACAGACTCTAGCGGTTTGGAAGAGAAAACTAGACACGTACTACTATGTTATCAGACATTACACTGCCTACTGTTGATATGTTAGTGAAGACATCGATATAGCTATTAATAGGGGGCAGCAGGGCATTTCCATAGATGCTGACAGTGCGCTGACCGAGTCAAGTATACGCTCTCTACCCTCTCCTAACCAAACACCTCTCTGTCCTTAGCCATTACTTAACATGAAAGAGAAGGAATATGTAGGACTTCTCTATGTGTGAATGGCTTAGCTCTTTTACGTAATAACCATTCCTTTTGCTGCAGATGGGATGCTTCCATTCTTTATGCCTGAAAAATACTTAATTGTGGTGGTTGTCTACTTACCTCTGTCTGTCTGTCTGTCTGTCTGTCTGTCTGTCATCAGATTTTCTTTATTCATTTGTTACAGACACCTAGGCTGATTCTGTGTCTTAGCTATCATATTACAGACATTGCCTCAAGCACCATAGACCTGGAAAAGTTCCTTTGTTGCGCTCACTTTCCTCTTTGGATCTGTAGCCAGCAGTGGGACAGATAGTTCAGGTAGATCTAATTTTCAAGATTTATTGTTTTTAATTGTGTGTACGCATGTATGTAGGAGTGTGTGCACATCAGTGTAGGTCATGGGGTCACGGGTGTTGAATCCACTGGAGCTGGAGTTGCAGTTGTGAACATTTGGCATAGTGCTGGGAACCGAACTCAGATTCTCCATAAGAGCCAGAAGTGCTCCTAACCATTGGGTCATCACTCCAGATCCTGGCTTTAGTTTTGAGGTACCCCATCTTGTTCTCTATGAAGGCTGTGCTAAGTTCACATTTTCCCAACAGAATATCAGAATTTCTGTGGCTTTCTGTCCTCCTTTTGTCATAATAGTCATTTTTAGTGGGGTGCAGTTAAGTTAGTTGGCTTTGATTTGTTTTTCTCATGTATTCACCATTTTTTTACATATATTTTGGTCATCTAATGTCTTCTTTTGAGAAGTGTCTGTTCATACTATTTGCCTAGTTAAAACAATTACAATCATTATTTGTCAAGTGTTTAGCATCCCTGGATGCATGTTGGAGAGCATCCCTATGTCAGATGTCTAGCTGGCAATTATTTCCTCCCACCCTGCGGGTTGTCTCCTTAGTTGATTGCTCCCTTTGTTGTGTACAGTTTGATGTAATCTCATCTACCAGTTTTTAAGGTCCCAGCCAATGCCTTCAAGTTCCCTTGCCATTTTCCCCTAGCAGTTAACAAATCTGTCTGTCTGTCTACACATCTCTACTTATTTATCTACTCACCCATACTCTAAGAGGATGTTTGCATGGAATGAGGTTAAGTTTTAGAACTCTGCCAGAAGGTACTCAACTTGATCAATATCCTGTATTGAAGAAAGCATCTTTTGCAGTATTTCTGATACCTTTTTTGAGATGCGCTTTGTCTCTCCTTAGCTGGCCCCTCCCCATATAGTATCCTTTTTTACAACCCGGCTGTCCTGGAACTTCAGTATAGCTCAAATGCTGAAGTTACAGATATGTCTCACCACTTCTGGCTGTGTCTCTTCTGAGGTTTTATTTTTGTTGTTCTCATTTTTAGCTTCTGCGATGCAGACTAGTGGTCATGAATACTTCAATGTTTCCTGGTCTTGTTGGGTGTCCATTTCTCCTTCATGTTTAAAGGCTAACCTTGGTAGGTACAAGGTTTTTTGCTTTTTTTTTTAAAAAAAATACTTCTAGTTTTGGGCTATCTCACTGTGTTCCCTTTTAAACTGTAGAATATATTTTTTTTTTGAGGCAGGGTTTCTTTGTGTAGCATTGGCTACCCTAGAATTAGATCCATAGACCAGGCTAGCCTTGAACTCAGAGATTCACCTGCCTCTGCCTCCCGAGTATGGGATTAAAGCATGTACCAACAAAGTGTGGCTTTACTTTTGGTATCTTGTGTACAGTATTCTGTGGTAAAGATCATATTTTGGTTATACTTATTTTACTGCCCTATAAGCTACCCATTCTTTTATGTCTACATAGTTTTCTTCTGTGCCCTGATAATTCCCTCCCCCTTCTGTGCTTTTTGAAATTTTGATATTTGTTCTTTAATGCCTCTCTAGATCTTTGACACTCTTGCTATTCTTCTTGTTTTATTTTTATTTGTTTTATTTCACTGGGCTGTTTTAAAAATCCATCTTGCTGTTCATATAACCTTTATCCATTTGATCTAATTGGCTGTTGAGGCTATCAATTACAGTTTTTTGAAATTTTAAGTTATTTTATGTCTATGAGTTTTTGCCTGGTAAGTGAGAGGAGTTTCCTCTGTCACTGGTGGTGTTCTTGCTATCAGTGATCCAGGGTACCACTGGCCTCTGAGGCGATGAGGTTCCAAAGCATTTTTCCTCTGACCAGTGGTATGACCCCAGGGACTGCATGGGGAAAGGGGACAGCGGAACTACAGAAACACCCTCTGGGCTGGTCACTGCTGGTCCTGACAAGGTGGAGTGGTGGGTAGTTGTATGACCGCCTGAGGACGGGGCAGGAATCACGGTGCTCTTCCCTCCTGCTGAAGTCATGGTGTTTGCCAGTGTTAGTCAGAGTTCCCCTTGAGAACAGAGTTGTCCGTGGTGATGTGACAGCTGGGGCTTTTTCTGTCAGTTTTCCCCTTCAGCTCTAGTGCTTGCCCTGGAGTGAGGATGAGTGGACATAAATATATCCAGGCAAAGTTTTTTTTTTTTTTTTTTTTTTTTTTTATTCCCTATCCCTGTTTGCCTATGGTCAATGTGACATCATTGCAAAATTTCTCAAGCACCACTCAGTGCCTGCCCTCAGTCCCAGCACAGGCATGAAGCCACACATGATGTAGCCTGTCTCCTAATAAGGACATCATTGTCTTTCTTGTCTGTGTCTCCACACCCGTTCCTTACAGTGCAGGTTATTATTCAAGAGGCTTAGGTCACAGCCACTCTGCTGGGTTAAGCTGACATCAAAAGCCAGCCACCCCCTGATTCAGTAGAGTAGAATGAATGTGAATGTGGGTTTCACCAAGGGAAAACGCAAGATTCTCTGACCCCTAGGGGAATCCAGATCCAGACAGGAGCTCTGTTCTCTAAGTGGCTCCTGAGTCTGGCAAGTTGGATGTCTTCTGGGGAAAGATGTGAAATCCTTTTCCAAAACAAGGCTACTGTATAGACTGGAGGCTGCTTATCTAAGTGGAATTTTCCTGTAGTAGCGTTGCCAGCATCTACACCGCAAGGGTTTGCAGAGAAGCTCCTTGTAATGCTTACTCCTCCTGCCAAGAGGAGACATCTCCGCCCCTGGCTTCTGAGATGCTGTTGCCAAGATCTTTTTTTTTTTTTTCTTCAAGCTATTGTCTCAGGTCCGTGAATGCATGGCTCTCCTCTTTCTTTCTGATTGCCAGTTTTCTCTTACCTCATTCACCTAAAATGGAACAATCTACCTGTTACTCTGGGTCTCTGTGGAGGAGGAGGACAGTTGCTTAATTCATCAGTATATCAGCAGGGGATTAACATCAAAAGGAGGGATTACACTGAGCCCAACAGACAACTGTTTTCCTCCTATAGTTTATCCACATGTCTTTATATGTAAAGTGGTTTCCTACCTATTCTCCTTTCAATATTTACCTCTTTTCCATGCTTTTGATATTGTCAGGAACAGGAAGAAGGGAATTTCAGCATCAATGCCCATTCTAAGTCAAGAAATATGCAGCAGCAACAGGCTGGACCATTCTCCCATGAATCTCCCTTCCACCTTGAGAATGTTAAGTTTTCAGAGAGAAAAACTCAGAGTAACCAGGCAACTAAGGGGGTAGCAAAGCTCCCTTAAAAAGTTCATCCATATTAACCTTGGTCGAGACAGTGAGCCAAGAACAAACCAAGTCCCTATGCACCACACGCTGTGAACTGTCTGGGCTAAAGGGTCTCCTCCCTTCCCTCTATCTACAAGGCAGTCAGAAAGCAATGGCATTGCTTCAAGGCAATTCTCTCCATGGATATTAGTTTGCAATCAGGAAAGAGCAAAAGAGCAATGAGCAGAAAAGTTTGCTACCAGAACCTTCTTCAGAGAGTCTCGAACTGGCAGACATAGGCAGACCTACCCTTTCTGCTACAAATCTCACAGACTGCACGCTGGTTCCATATAAATTGTCGTTGTACTGGCCAGCTTCGATAAATTTGTGCTCTTGAATGTCTTTCTCCATTTGCTCTCGAGAAATGACAAAATGATAGTCTCTGCCGTCGACTTCGTAGTCACGCTTTGGCCTCGTAGTATCTTAGTAAAAGAAGAATCAGCGAGAGTAAGAAGCACTTATAATTATGAACTTCTTTTCCGTCTGAGAGTTTCTCCACTATTCCTTCAGCACAGATGGAGATGGGTCATGTGTAATAAGATGGGCCATGGTACAGTAATGAATGCCAGCCTTACCACCCCATATAAGTAAGGATAAACAGGACCAACCACAAGAAATAACTTCTTTCAGGTATCAGGGTGCAGCTGTAATTATAAGGAATGAGAAACCTGTGAGGGACGAGAAACCTGTGAGGGACAATCTGTATTTATCCTGCCTTTCTGCCTCAATGCTAATTCTAAATGGAGAGTCCGGAGGCCAGTCAGTGTTAGAAGATACTGCGGCTCACAGAAAATCGGGCATTGGGGTGGTAGAAAAAGCCGCACATCTAGCCACATCTAGAAGGCTCCTCTGGGCTGACTTGAGGCCTGCTTCTAAAGCAAGTTATACACAACACGCTGACCTGTCAGTACATTATCGCTGTATATATATAAAAAAATGTATACAGGAAGATAACTGAATTCAGACTCTCAACAATAAGGCACGGCACCCGAGTTTGAGCCTGCACACATGCACTTCTAGCACCCGGGATTCAACGGTAGAAAGGTCATAAGTTCCAGGCCAGTCAGAACTACATAGTGAGACCCTGTCCCCACATAACCACTGCCTCAAAATATATAGCACTACAACACATAGAACAAAATAGATTATGAAGAAGTAAATCATAAAGATGGGAGAAAACGTGCCATGAGAATTAGGGAAAGATGGGCATATAGTTATGAATATGTTTAGGTATTTAAAATTCTATATAGTAAGAGAAAAATAGTTCCAGGACTGAAAGTCAGCAAATACAACAATGTTATGTCAATGTTTTATTAAGATGACAAAAGGAAAATGATCTAGCTATACAACTTTAAATAGTTGACCTACATCCAATATTGGAATCACTTTAAAAAACATTTAACCTTAAAATTGATCAAAAGTCAAGAGAAATGTATCCCCAAATATATCGATTATAGTAATTTATAACACAAAATTACATTTTATTATAACCCATAGTATCGTAAAGGAGGAGAAATCAAAAATATCAACTTTTTCGTGAATATAGTTATTTTAAATTGTTCTATAACAACAGATTTAAAGATATAAGTACATGAAAAATGTATTGGAGGAAGAATGATTTTGTTTCTGGTTATTAAGTGGCATTCTATATACTTCTCAATTCTTTGGCTAACTTATTATTTTTTTTTTAATTTTTCAAATCCTGTACAATCAGTATGTACTTATTCCCATAGAATAGTGCTAGCCATGAAAAAAGAAAAAGGAGTGTGCAGGGGAGAGGGGAAGACGGGCAAGCGCAATTATATTTAAGGTTCTGACTTCCTTCTCTCAGATGTCAGATGCTGAAAGCAAACCAGGCTTTCCTTTGCCCCTTCCCACCCAAGACATTCTTAGGAGCTGTCCCGCCTCTTTCCAGAGTCCCTTCTGGGAACCTTCTCTTGAGGTCCAGCAATCTTCCCCACCCTCCTTTTGTCTGTATGATGCATACAAGTAATTCCTTCTTTTCTTATGACCCGAGAATGAATCTGTATACTGAAATGTTTGAGATATTTGAAATTATAAATCTAAAACAATAGCAGCAGCAATAACAAACGGCTCATAGAGAGGAGCTATTTGTTGGGATCAGATGGAAGAGCCTCTGTCTAATAATGCAGACTGCCCAGTGGCCCCGTCTCCATGCACAGGCCATTTTTGTGTGAGAGGAAAGGCAGAGCGGTGTGGGAGTGGTGTTTGAGAAAGGTAAGACAGACTGGTTATTAATGACTGTGTTCAGAGGGACTTGGAAATCTAGTTGTCTATAATCTCAAAGTTTGAAATCTATAGTGGCCTATAGGATAGTGATATCTCTCTCTCTCTCTCTCTCTCTCTCTCTCTCTCTCTCTCTCTCTCTCTCTCTCTCTCCTCTCTTCTGACAATCCAGAACCACTTGGCTTGAGGATTGATACACTGGACTAAGTCATCCAGAGACGATTTCAATGTGAGGTTGTGCTTCTGATCGTCCCTGGTCTGTGGATAAAGATGCTATAGCAGTGGTTTAATCAACCTAGAAGATCCCGCTGAAACTTGTAAATGGCATGTTGTCTCAAGTGCTCAGGGAGGTTCCAGAAGGTCTTGCTATCTTCTGGAGATGAAGGTTAGTCCTTATCAGTAGAAAACAATGTGTGGCAACCCAGATCAGAAGGGTTAGGCAGATGCCCTAAGTCGGGTGCTCAGATAACGGGTACCCGATGTTTGCCTCACACCAGAGGACTCTTCATTGAGGAGCAAGATTACACTTGATCACCCACCAAGGAGCCCAATGTGGGCCCAGAGAAAAGAAAAGCGATACTTACGGGGAACGCAGGAGCCAAATTTATCAGGAAATTCAGATATCAAGTCATCATTGATTCGATCCTTCATGGGGCCCAGGATAATCACTGGCCGAGTGTAGCTGACTGAGGACAGGAAGGGAAGATGATATTGAGGGTGACTTCAAACCCCGCAGTGTGGATGCAGCGCCGCACCTCTGCAGAGGTAATTTTTCAGGGCAAACTGCCAGCAGCTAAGAAGTGCTAAGGCCTTCCTTCACTTGGAGTTAAACGACCCACAAAACCGTCGTGCAGAAATGGCTAATGTTTAGCTCTCAGGATATTGGCTTTACTGCTTTCTGGGATTTGCTAACAGAGAATAGAACAGCTGTAGCCGCTACCAAGGAAATGGAGGTGGAACTTTGTGTCTTCTTTCAGGCTTTACCTCCCTATGTCAAAACCTGGATTTAGGGAGCCCCCGAGGGGGGAAAAACCAACCAGCTTTTTGGTCATTGTTTAAAGCCATCATTAATAGCAGTGACACCTCACGTGTCTGTACTTCGTTTTCCTCAGAGGACACTATCTGTCCTCTGGTGGGGGCTTCCTGATTCCTAAGTGCTTTAGAACGTATCTGAGACTCTGTGGTACAACTCCCCATCTGATGGTTCAGCTTTCTCAGCCACATCTCTGTCAGCCATCATCAGCCTCTGAAACGTCTACAGAAGCTCTGACCCCTGGAGAAGTTTGCAGGGGTCCAGCCTCTGAGGTCTGCTAGGAAGTCCTTTTCAAAACTGGGCTTAGCGTCAGCTTTCCTGGGGCTGTTCTGCATCAGCCCTCGGGCTCAGGTTCCTAAGTGAGTAAGCCACCATCACCCGGCTGACAGGTGCCTTCTCAGCGAGGCCACACCTCTCAAGGACTGTTCTGTCCCCCTGGGAGCTGTTACTGAGCCCAGGTCTGGGGCAACTGAATATTAAGCTGAGTTTGGTGTCATCTGTCATAGCTTGGGAATCAGGAAGTTGGGCTTGCCTGGAAACTTACTTTCCTGCCTTGTGACAGGTTCATAGGAGAGAATGAGATCTTCTTGTCCTCCTGAGAAGAAAAAAAAAAAAAAAAGAAAATTACAGTTGTCAAACAACCAGCCACACTCGATAGCTACAGTTTCTGCTCTGAAACACAATAAACCTATGGTTGAGGATTAATTTTCCTTACGCTCGCTCCTTGAACCATTCAACAATCCTTCATCCTCATAAAGCTCTAGCGTCTGCTGATCGCAGTTGTCGGGAGGCTGTCGATGGTTAGTTAAATTAGATTCAGACTGAGGACATTGGGGTTATGGTTGTGGGGCAGAGCACATGTTTAGCATGTAGGAATCCCTGCCTTCAAGCCCTGGTCCCCACTCCGAGTTGAGAGGTATGCCCTAGGCTATCGGTTATGATGGATGCTAACCCTTGCTGTGAAGCTTCAGAATGAGAACTAAGAGGAGCAACGTTGTAAAGATGCCAGCATCACCAGCAGCGTTTGCTGCATGGCCTCTGTTTCTGGGTGGGCCATGAAGCCACGGTCTACTGTGGAGCCCAAGTTCAGTGTTGGCAATCAGTTTTAGATGGTTTATATGCTGGACCAAATGAGTGGTCTTCGGGTGGTCTCGGGTCAGCCGCAGATCCCAAAGGGTCTGCTCCTATATCTGCATTGGGTTTAGTGTTGTTCAGCCTTTGGTATGAGACTAGGTTAGGGGTTGAAAACAGATCAGTGTCTGCTAGAGGGGACATTTGAGGAGGAATGGGGAGTGGTCTTTTCCAAGGCCAAAAGACAGCAAACTTCATTGCTCTATACTATATTATACTATACTATACTATACTATACTATACTATACTATACTATACTATACTCTATGGACTGTCCATCCCAAACAGACTTAGTATGTAATACCAGTTTCTCTTTCATAGCTCCAGTCAGGGGAAAGCGAGCTCTTTCTACCGAAGGCGGTAACTACACAATGGTTTCAACAACCGCCCTTGATTCTGGAAGTTCTTTGATGTTTGTAATTGCAGGGCATAGCAGCCTTCAATGGAGCCTTGGTAGTGGTACAGGGCAAAGATGTGCTTTTCATACATTTTTAAGGGTGAGCAATGGCTGCCAACTGAAGTCATGCCTGCCATCTACCCCCAAGGGGACTTGCTGTTGGTCCTGGCACTGCGAGGCCACACTGTATCCTGAAGGCACAATGAGACTTGGTATCTCTCCTCAATGGCACCTGTCCAGAGCTGCCCTGGAAGTGCTCAGGAGGTATCCACACGTGTCAGAAGGGGACTGGTGTGGGTGATGCAGAATTTTATATATGGGGGGAAAGAATGATTCTGTGTGGATAAATTAAACTACACAAAGCCAGTGTTTTAGATAAAAAAAATCAAGTGACTGCTGCTACGGCTCAGTCATCTGGTCTGAAGACACCAGGAGAGATAGGTCGGTGCCACTCAGACTGTGGAGAGAGTGAGTTTGTGGGACAGTCGCATGGCTCACTGGTGCCAGCAATGCTAGACTCCGACTTCATAGGGAAGGCTTGTTATCAAGAGAATCCTGATAGCCAGGCAAAGCTTCCGGTGTCAGGGGACGGACGTCAGAGGCTGCCCGTTACACCAGCCGTTCCATGAAGACAAACGCAAAGCTCCATCCCGCCACTGTGACTCTAGGCTCAGAAGAGGTCGGAGGACTCACAGTGAGATTGGCATTGTGAAAAAAGGTCCTACTCGGCGTGACTGTGAGTGGGATTGTTTCACCTTGGGAAATGCAGTTTCCTCTGAATAAATATAACACACCATGCTTCTATTTGAATCTCTTCCAGTCGTCTTGCAGGTCACCCCAGTGGGATCTTCTGAATGCAAATCTTGAGTAAGACATCTGGTGTCGGTCGGCATCATTTGTGCTTCTGAAAACCAGCACAAGCCCAGCTTTGATGGGAGAATTGCTTGTCCACTGATTTTTGGGGTGTTTCTTACAGAAAGAGCTGGCTTTCATTCAGAGCAGCAGTACTGGCAGGGAGTACTGGGCACTCTTTCTACATCCCAATCCTCATGGCCCTGTGCATGCATAGGAAGCCATGGAGAAGCCGTCCAAGTTGGGGCTATGTAAGAGCTGTGCCTTCAGTATCTTATGCCAGTTTTCATACTTAAGTAAAAAAAAAAAAAACAAAAAAAAAAACCAACAACAACAAAAAAAACCAGACCCAATGAGTAGCGGAAAAGAGACAGACTGGAAAGGGAAAATTCCATAGCAACGGAGAGAGAAAAACCCATGTCTTTATGTCATTCTTAGGCCGCAAAGGGCTTTCCTTTCCTAGCCACCGGCTTCTTGCTTTCATAGAATTTCTTGGGTAGTTGGTACTCTGGTGACCCATTTGATAGATGGGGAAGCTGAGGTTTGGAGAATTTGACAAGGCTCATTTGCTCAGCTAGTAAGTAGTAAAGCCAAGATCTAAGTCCACACTTGATTTTTTCCGTGGAGTCTTTTTGTACTATCTCAGGAGGGCGAGAGATGTTGGCTTCTCTGTGGGAATCATACAGCTTGTGGTGCACAATGGCCGTGGGTCTGAAGAGGACAGGGTGGCCAGGAGGCCAGAAGAGGCCCATCCGTCAGCACCAGCATTTCCATCTTCTCTCGCGCCCTGTGGATAGATCTTCTCTGTAGTCACCCTTAGAAGTTATTTTTTCTTTCGTTTGTCACAAGAGTTTGGCACTCAGAATAACAGCTGGCAAAAGGTACAAACTCTTCTCGGTTTTGTTTTGGCAACTCTGTGGCTGGCAGTGGGCAAGCAGCACACACTGTGGGGTTTGCAGCTGCCAGACATCCGGCAGAGCTGTTTTCTAACAGACCGGGCACAACATGGGGCTTGTGCGTCAGTCACAGTGAGACATGGTTAGTGCGAAACCCCAGTGTGCCTTCGGGAAAGAAAAAAAAAAAAAAAACAGAAGAGAGAGGAGGGGGGTGGGGGTCCGTTCTAGTCGTGTTCTATTTAATGGTTTAAATTTAGTTCCCAGTGCTTGTGCCTGGTGGCTTCGCGGAGTCAGAGAACGTTAGCGTCAGGACAGGTTAGGCGATGTCCTTCCTAGAGGGCACCTCTGAGGCACATGGCGGTCCTCTTTCTGTGCCCTCAGAGGGAATGCACAGCACTCTCTGCCTGAAGGGCCGTCTCAAGCTTTTCCTCTTTTATTAGTCTGGATGCTTTGCCTGTGTGCATGTCTGCGCATCCTTGCACTCTTGGTGCCGGTGGAGTCCAGAAGAGGGTGGGTGTTGGATTCTCTTGGAACTGAAGTTATCGGCAGCTGTAACTCAGGTCTTCCCGAAGAATAGCCATGTTCTTAACTGCTGAGCCATCTCTTTAGCTCCTCCAAATAGTTCTTCAAGCAACTATTTCCAATTGATTACGCTTGACGTTTGATTTAAGTCTATTTGTTAGCTCGGTGTCTCCATAGGATAGTCAGAAGATCAAATTACTTTACCACCAGAAAGCCCTTGAAATTGGGCTTAGTATATAGTTAACACTATAAGTGCCTTGTTAGTCTTTTCAACTTTCTTGGGATTTTTTTTTTTTCCAGGACAGGGTTTCACTGTATAGCTCTGGCTGTCCTGGAAGTCACTTTGTAGTTCAGGTTAACTTTTAGTTCACAAAGATCTGCTTGCTTCTGCCTCCTGAATGCTGATTAACCACCTCCCAGCTAGTTTTAGTCTTAATAATCTGATTAGCAGTACAGAATGGTTACAGAGTACCAGATTAAACAGCAGGATGCTGTTATGAACCACACGGTGGAGTAAAGGGTCCATGAGAGCCAGAAGCACAAGGTCTCATTGCAACTTCGGGGCTATCACTTATCAGTGAGGTACACAGCTCTGGCTGCCCTCCTATGCAAAGTAGGCTCTCAAGATAAGACCTACCTAATAACAGCGTCATCGCAGAAGTTAGAGATAATAAAAATGAGAGAACTAAATGCAGCCATGGACAATACTTGGGAAAAGTGGAGTGGGAAGGAGTGGGGAGCCACAGCCAACAACTCTCTTAGGGGAATCTTGGATCTCCTCCTCTCAGAGATTGCACTTAGAATTTCCTTCAAGATCCTCATTTGGAAAATCCTAATTTAACTGGTGAATACCAGTGGGCAAGAAGGAAATTGTCAACTCCCACATAACAACCATTATGCAAAAAGAGCTTGATGGAGCTTTGAGAGACAGTAGGTCACCAGCTGTGGGGATCTGACTGGCCCTGATAATACCTGTTTGGTATGTATTGCCCCCCAACACAAGAGCAATTGGAAGGTATATACAGAAGGGCTCCAAACCATGAGCCTTAACTTTCCTACTTTATTGGTGAAAAGAAATATGGAACTATCCAACGGTTAAGGTTCTGAAGTGGTATTTTGTATAATTAGGCAATATGCCTATTAATTAATACATATTAGATGCTACTCAATACAGCGGACTTGAGAAAAAAATANTCATTCCTAACTTGGCTTTCCCCAGTGACCTTGGTCACAGCTTCTGCCACACACTTCATTTTTACCGTTTCCCACGTGTAGGTGAACAAGTGTTAATAGTTAACCCGTAGAGCACTTTGCTGTCTGAGTTGATTGGCACGCCACTCAAAGCCTTTATAGTGGATCTGATGACGAAAACACATTTTAAAGTATTTAAAGAAGCCAAGTTTGCAATGGTTACAACTTCATAATCCTTGAAGATATGCCGGGTTATAGGAGTAAAATGTACTAACCACGCTTGGATGTTTCCAATGCTGCTAATCTCTTTTCAGTCAACCTGCCTTAACACCAGCTTTTTTTTTTTTTTTTTTCCCCGAGACAGGGTTTCTCTGTGGTTTTGGAGCCTGTCCTGGAACTAGCTCTGTAGACCAGGCTGGTCTCGAACTCACAGATATCCTGCCATGCTTAATTTGGTGTAGCATCTGTCTGAGTTGTGTTTCAAAGTGGAGGCCAATAGGCACGCATGTGGAAGGCTGCGTGTCCCCAGAAGGGGGTGTGAATGGTGCGAATGGTGCTCTGTGCACCGTACAGCCCGGTGGCCTCAGACTGCTTTGCATCCTCCAC